AGTTCGTGTAACCTTTCTATCATTTATTGGTTTAAGAAAACTAGAAAAAAATTCTGCGTCGATGCCCATTGTTTAAGGTATGATACTTTAAGTATCATTCGATTTTAAAGTGTATGTTAATTTTTTTTTAGCAATCGAACTTAGTATATAAAATAATACTTTTTAAGTGGCCGGCAAATAAGTGGGTATTTCAGTCACATGTAGTGTTGCAACTTAATTAGAGATATGACCTGAAAATTAAACAGATAATATAAATAATCTACGGGTTACTTTGAACCATTGAATATCCATAGATTTAAAGTACCCATAGATTATTTATATAAAACTTTATTTTAAAAGATTGTATGACCACTTAATTTAACGGGTTTCTCGATTCGTCGAGTGCGAACTATATATGTATATATTTTAATATTTAATACTATAATTTATATTATGGAATTTGAACTACTATATAGTTAAAATATTTGATTGTTATATTAGCATTAAATTGGTGGATTAATTACCTAGGTGGATCTGCATATAAGTTTACATATTATATGAGTGATGGCAAGGGAAAACCTCGAACCGGCAATTATTCGAATAATAATTTATTATTAGGAATAATTGCCAGTCCGAGGTTTTTCCTTGCTGTTACTCATATGATTGATATAAATTTAACATTGCTTAGAGTAGTTTTTTATATTACGTTAACATCATTGACAAATGGGCTTTAGCAGGTTTTAATATATATATGTTAACTTAACAACTTAGTATCCTATAGCAATAGGCTTTTATATTGATATTGTATAATTCAAAGAGATAATCTGTTAATGCCATAAACAGTTCGAATTTAAAAACCTGTTTATAAATATGTAAATTTAAATTAATTTATACTTATCATTATATAAAACCGGAATTGAACTTTAAATTAAAGTAGTTTTTTGTATTGGCATTAAATTAGCACCAAATTTTTTTATACTTTCGATGTATAATTCATTTATGATCAGTTAGAATTTTCAGTTTTTTTCTAGAGCAACAAACATACAAAATAAAATTTCATGCGATTTACTCACCGGAAAGATTGTTGTTTTTAAAGTATGTAATACAGTATATATAAATCCATATCAGACATATCAGTATCAGGTGTGATTGTGATTTGACACGAATACTCTTACAGAAACACGCGATTTTGAAGCCTGAAAATTTATCTTAAATGAATTGGCTAACCTTTATACAGTTCATCCATAAATTCCCACTTTCTAAAAACTAGTTCACGTTATACAAAAATTCAGCAACAAGCATTTTTGCAATATTTCTCGAAGTGACTTTGGTATGTTTTAAAGGTTTAAACAGCCGTAATAATTTAGGAAATATATTAAATGGCAATCTATCTAATAAGAGGCTTTTAAACCAACTCACTTTTTCACCAATAAAGCCATCATTGTAGTTACTATAATTACTAAGTAATAGCTTGAAAGGCTGTTTCAATTAATGCAAGAAATTCTATTTTATGATAATGGCAATCACAATCAATTTTTGTATTTCGGATATTACTGTTCATATTTTTTTGTGTTCTTTTATCCTTCAAAAAATTCTACCAAGAAATATAGATTTTCAATCGCATTCATAACAACCATGACAATGTTAGAATTTCCTTTAGAATTGGTATTTTCTTTAACCCATCTCTTTAAACTGCTGCTTATTAAATAATTGCTACCAATATCATCATCATTGTTTACACGTATAAATTCTAGGTACTTTTCTTTTAACTTATCATCAAAATCATCAAAATCGTCAAACTCACTCAACTCAACTACTTCATCTGCAACACAAATAAATTTTAAATTAGTTAATTCCCATTTATCTAGAATTTCGGCATCAAACCAATCTTTTGTATTCAACAAGATTTTATGAAATTTGAAATCTTCAGTTAGCCAACAACATGTAATCACTATTCTGGATTATGAAATAATTTCGTTCCATTTTGAATCAATAAAGAGCATAATATATTTTGCTTGTAGCACTTTTGATTTTAATCGAAAAAATAATTGATTATATGCTTTATCTATTTGTTCTTCTATAATTCTTGAAGTAATTTTGTTGATTAATAAATCCAGCTGATTTTAAATTATCAACAATACTAAAAGGTAATATAGAGGAAACAATAAATTTAATTAATCGTAGACTAACTTTTAATTCAAAATTGATAAAATCATTATTATCAAATGATGATTGAATAGTTGTGTCTGAAGATTTCATTACGCCTTGCTTAGAATAGGTTGGTTAATGATCTCAAACCTTTGAGAGTTGTCTAATAATATTTCACTAATGTCTTTTTTGCTACTTGACATTTTAAGTCATACTGCTATACGAAAATCAAAAAAAAAAAGAATATTAATTTTTCTTTGTTTTTGTATGTGTATGAAATTGGAATGTCAAAAAAAGCATTTCTCAAATATGAATAAATTTGAAGTCCTAACTCCATAAATTACCCAATCATTTTTAACCGAAAACTTTCATGCAATTTTTTAGAAGTATTTTCAAATATTTGATTCAAATTCAAATTTTGATTTGATTTTGTGGAATACTAGGTACAAAAAAAAAACACTGATAGTTGTAAAATAAATTTTATTGTTTTAAACCTAATTATATTTTTTATATCAATATTAATATCATTAACGTTAATATGTCACATGTGTATTTTAACACTAGTGGATGCTGAAATAAGTCATGTGATTAGTTAGTTAAATAACTAGTAAAATGATAAGACTAATGAAATTTTCTTAAATTTGTTATAAAAGAGAAGAGTTTTTATATAAACTGTTCATTATAATAAGAATGACTGTTATATTGATAACTAGTACCCTATGTTATATCCGGGACATAATTTCGTGTATGCGTAGTCTGTTATAGTAAAAGTAGAGTCTATTGTAGTATGTTTGTAGCTTGATAGAGCCAAGCCATAAAAATAATGTATTCTTTCTCTTATAATTACAATAAATAAAATACTCACCTGGCCATTGAAATAGATATCCAAGTCATTTAAGAAGTGGTGACACTGGAAATAAAGCTGTAGCGAAGGTCCTATCAATGCTATATCTGATATGAACGTGACGGTGCCTACGAATTAACTATAGAGATGTGATCCGAAACTATCCCTTAATATGTAGACCAACGCAGGCAAATTTGCCTGCATTTTTGCACTTTTTTAGCTCTGATTTACTTTTT